TGTGTATATCTAATATGAATTGGATTTTGATACACATCGCATTTTAAAGAGAACTGTAGTTACTGCTGCTTTGCATTTTGTCTTTAAATTATCTGGTAGTTAAGATGTTTTTCTGTAATTAATTTTGTGTCCTTGAACATGGCCTTCTGTATGGCTCGAATCTCTGGAATAACAGCATTGCATGCTCTTGTGGGTACAGGTCACTTGTATGGGGCATAGGATTGTTTAAGTATTCTGTAAGTAACTTCCTTTCACTTCTGTTTCAGTAATATTTCTCATTAGATGGTCTTAAAAACTAACCAAACAAACCAACATCCACACACACCCCTTAAACACCCCCCCACCCCCTCCCCAGTAACCCAGCCACAATTTAGTTATCTCTAGGGGGCAGATTATGTATGAATGTTTGAAATACCTTCCTTTTAAAATATAGATAAGAGATGTTGCAGACTAAAGCAAACCTTTTCTTGAATGTTTCTGAAGTTTTTCTGTGCTTCTCAGTGAACATGTAATCTGTGTTCTGAAAAACAGTGCTTTAAAATCTATATAATCTAGAAAGTCTATAAAATCTTTGTCCATCCTGCACTTTGCAGCTACTTTGTACATCCTTTTATTTGTCTAAGTCTTCCAGGCCTGTGAATTGAAGCAGGGAGGCTGTCAGCCTGATCAGTTAACACACTGAGTGCTTTCACTATTCTGAGTTTGGACCATCTTCTCGTCTCATGTAAACTAGCACTGGTTTATTAAAGTAAACGTATTTTTCAGTAGTTTTCACCAGTAACTAATTCAGTCCGTAGTGTTTAGTGACAGTTCAAAACTCATTGAAAGTATAATGTAGCTTTAAGAAATTTTTAACTATTTTGCATCAGAAGAGAAATGATTTAAATTACTTTTGACATACCTGTATACCTACAACTGAATCCTTTAGGGCAGGATCTCTGTCAGAAGTATGCGTTAAATGTTTAGCACTTGATTACTAACAGTGCATAAAGCTTTGTGAAAATTAGTTAAGTTGCTTGTCTGCCACCTTGATTGAGTTTTGGGAAACTTCTGAGGAGAGCAGCCGAGGCAGTGTGTCTGCAAGTTCAGAGCTGCTTTGCCACACCTGGAAAGAGAAAAATATCTTCCCTTTGATCCACTGCTTGTCTGGCTCTTCTAAACTAGAGTCTCCTTGGAGCCTGGATATTGTGGATATTTATATTTTCATGCACTTTGTCTCCATGTCTTCTATGGGCACTTCAAAATATTACCCTGTAAGAATTTCAGTGTATTTTAAATATGAATTTTGGTTTTAGTAGTTTCAAGTAGGGAAATATTTTGCAAATAATAGTAAAATCAATCTTGAATATTGAATCAAAATCCAATTAGCAGTTCACATTTAAGATGTTTTCTTGAAATGTTTATAGCCCTTGTCAGTGTCTAGTGTGGGAGAGAATCCTTTACCACAACAATTATTCATTTTTAATCTAAATGTTGCACTGTTCTGTTAAAACTTCATACACACTGTGTTGTTATAGGCACTGATACATTTTATAATGTAAACTTAGGTTTCTTATTGAAATCTTAGTGAAATCTGGAGTCTGTTTACACTCAGGCATGTCCAAGTACCTGGACAAAGGTATTCTGTGTTGTTCTGTAAAGGAAGTTAATTTTGATTGACCTGTGACTTTATTTTTTTTTTTTTTTTTTTTTTTTTTCCTTAATAAAATTGGAATGATTCACATCTTGCTTTCCACATGGCCTTGTCTGAGATGCTCTGGGAACTTAATCCACTTTCACATCCCATTTTCCCTTACTTCATAGTCAAAGCAAAGCTTGAGATCTGGCAGGGACATCTTGAATCAGAAATCCAGCAAACTACTTCCTTCACTAGTGGAGCAGGCTCCTTTAGGCTAGCAGAATTCCTACTTTCTCTGGAGTTTCAAGGCATTTTCTGTGCTTCTTGAAGCTCTAATATTTTTGTCTAATTTCCGATGTGATCTTACTTATGCTCTGATAATGTTCACTTGCATTTTTGGCCAACACTATTCTTTAAGTGATAATTCTTCCCTGTTTCTGATGTTTAGCATGGCTGTTCTAGAGAGTTTATGTCTACTCCTTTTGGGGTTTTGTTTTGATAAATTAAAAACAAGTCAGTCTCAGAAAAATGAATGGCAGGAGTCTGAGGCCAAGTAACGTAGCATCTCACTGCTGCAAGGAAAGGAAAGAACTTCTGCTTTCTACTAGTAGTGGGCTATTAAGCTGGCTAAGTCATTTCATGAAACTTGGCTAAAGATTTGAGTAATTAGGGCTTTTTGAGTGACCATTGCAATTTTTCACAACTATTAGCATTCAGCTTTGCCATCCAGCTAAGTGAAGGCATGGAAGTGTTTGGAGGTATGTTGGCTGTAATAACAGAAGTCTTTAATGCTCTTGCTTTCCTCTTTGGGATTGTTTCTTTTGCCTTGTGCTTCTCTGCTAATCATTGGTATTTTTAGAGAAATATATTTGTATTCCTTCTACTTCACAATTTCTAATAGTTCAAAAGCATAATTTCTCTCATAGAGTATAACTTAATTTCGTAAGGTCTCACCAGTGAAGGATGAATTGAGTAGGGTGGATCAAGATTTCTCATTTTTCTTTTTTAAGTACAAAAATAAATCAGGGTTACTGATTTACTTCAAAGATCTCTGATATCTCATTAGTTACTGGCTATAAGAAACTGCATCTTTAGGGTCTGCCCTTTAGGGTCTGTATGTGTGGTTGAGTGTGGGTTTGTGCTGTTGTATTGGGGTTTGGAGACAGGTGAGGATGGTGTGCTGTAGGGCAGGCTGTGCTGGATAGAGTGCAATGGGTGATAAAAATGTAAACCTGCAAGTTGTTCCTTCTAAGTTAGTAAAGGAACTTAGCTTGTCTCCCAGGGAATCTTAGCATTGTCAGAACAGCATAGCACAGGGAAGAACAGGAAGAGAAGAACAAAGAAATCCTTCCTCTTTCAGCGCAAGTCACTTGTATGATCACTTGAACACACTGTCCATTCAACCACTTCTTTACTGGCAGAACTCTGCAATATTGATATATAAGGAGTCTACAGAAGGCAGACTGGACTGATGTATATATAGCTCACTTCCAAGAGAGAGATCCATCTTGATTTCCTCCCTCCTTTTGCACTGTCTCTGGTGTGCTTTGAGTCCTGAATGAATTGGGGTCAGTAATCCAGTACAAGTCTAACCCACCAAAGGAGGAGAAGAAAGTGGGCACTTTTCTGCTGATTTGAGTGCTGGAACCAGAGAAAGGGAATGGGTATGGTGCTTTCCCCAGGGTTTGGGAGACCAAGAAGAGTAAGATACTCCTGTTAGGAGTTTAGCTGTCCTGTTTGACCATGCTTAGAGATTGTTTTTTGGTAGGTAGACGAAAAATTAAGTCTTACTATAAGGCAAGCACACAGAGGTGGGTGAGCAGGAAATGAGCAGGTTAAGCCTTACAGGAGCTGATAAATGATGCATCATTTCAGACAGTTTCTTTGTAGTTTATCCTGTAGACTTTGTAACACTGTAATATGGCAAAACTTTTCTGTGAAGGGCGTGGATCTTTGTGGTAGCCTGAAATCTTACTTGCATGTAACTGTTAAAAGTGTTAGTTATTATACACATTTATGAGGTACTGCCTTGGTGTAGTGTTCACATGATTATAGACAAATGGGTTACTTGCAGTGATCCAGTGGGTTATGATGTAGAAGTGGATTACCAAGATGATGACTGTTTCTGACTTAAACTGTAGTACATAGAACTGTGTTTCAAAAAAAAAAAAAAAAAAAGACCCCCAAAAAAACCCCCAAAAGCCCAAAACAAAAAAGCAACAAGGAAATGTCTTCTAAATATACTTTAATAATAGAATAGCTTTTTTCAAGTTTGAAACTACTGTATCTTTAGAATGTTTTTGTGTGCCTTTAATGATGTGACATGCTTTCCCTATAAACTAGTAAGAACCATGTATATATGCTCCAGAGTGTAGTAGTAGTGTGTGAAAGTCAATGTTTTTGTAAAATGTTGGGATATATTTTATGGTCATAAACACATTTCCAGCAGTAAACCCTGCTGGAAAAAATTTACATGACTTCAGCTTTCAGCTTTGTTTTTAACTAGCAATAAAATGCATGGACTAACTAAAGCGCTTAAGAATTGGTTGAGACCACAAAGGTCTGTTTGTTTCTAAGTATGTTTGGAATTTGAGCCCATGTCAGCTCTGGAGTTGGGAGGTGCAGGGTGAGCAGTTAACTCTGCAGTCCAGAGAACAGGTGAATATTATGTATCCTCCGGATGTCATTATTACCCTTTCAGTAGTGATCTTCAAGTATGGATATAGCACAGTCTGACTAGAACCCATCCCTGCTAGTTAAGTAATAGGTTCTGGTTTGTCTGTTTGCATTTTGAAATTGAATGCAAATTACTAAGACTAAGACTGTGTAATGCTTTGTGGTTCTGTTTGAAGACTTACCTGGGGAAGCTTAATCTGTCTAGTAGCAAACCCACATTTTATGTTTCATCATGAAGTTAGCAGTAATGAATTGCTATATTGATACTCCAGTATAAAATCTGAAACTCTATAGCTGGCAGAAAGTGCTTTTGGCAGATGTGCTAAATTGCAAATATGAAAAGAGCTTTTGAGGCTGATAGGTTTTAAAGGCAGGAGAAGGTGACAGATCCAGTTGGTAGTGAGAGTTTCTGTTATTAATGAATACTGTTAAAGAGCTTGTAAGAAAAAACTAGTAAGGGTCTTTGGAAAAAGCTTTGGGGACATGTTACTGGATGCATATAGGCAAAAGACAATTAGGTAGCTTTATAGGTCAGTAGGTGAGACTAAAAGGGCTCGAATATTTTTGACAGGATCAATCTTTAAACTGAAAATACTAATTACAGCGTCTAGGCAATAAAAAATAACTATTTCTGATGTAGGTTTTCTGGATAATCTTTCCACATTTCTTTGATGGACTGATCTTTTTTTATCCTTTTTTTCTTCAGAAATACCGCTACCAGGATGAAGATACACCTCCACAGGAGCACAGCTCTCCGCACATTACCAATGAGGTGACGGGTCCAGAGCTGGTTCATGTATCAGAGAAGAATCTGTCACAGATTGAGAATGTCCATGGATTTGTTTCCCATTCTCATATTTCACCAGTAAAGGTATGCACTTTTAAAGTTTTAGAGTGAACTCTTTTGATACACTCTCCAGGAATATAATTTTGTAGGGAAATGTGTAGACATTAAAGTATTGACTTAGTTCCGCACATCCTGACTAAACATAACTGATAGTAAAATGCCCAGATGACAATGTAGGTAACTTAAGGTCTTGGGTGTAGTTTTGAAGGGCACTGTTGTTACTGCTGCCAGTTGCATTTCGGGTTTTCTATCAGGATCCTGTAGAATCAATTCTGAGTTTTCTTCTTGTAAACATTTTAAGTGAGGACCTGAGAGGAACATGTAATAAGCCAAGGATAATACATATCTCTGGAGATTTTCAGCATATAGCACCACTGTATTCAAGACAGCTCCAGTAACTTCATGGCAGATTTAAAAAGAACAAACTGCGTGTGAGGATTTATTTATTTTTTTATTGTGAAGAGAAATCTTGTTGAATGTATCAGCTGTGTAATTCACTTGTATGGATTCCATAAAGGAACCAACTATAGCAGGTGAGTGTGTTTAGCAGTTGTGATCCACCTTTTCTAAGATTTTTAAAATGTATGTGTTGGTATTGAACAGTTATTTATTTTTACTTTTAGTTGCATAATGAACTCTGTGTGTTTCCATAGTCTTTAGGAGCTAAAATAGCCAAATTCTTTAAGCCCTAATGAAAAATCCTTTTGCAATGAGCTCTGTTAACCTTTGAAGAGCCTTCTAGGAATGAGAATATGACAAACCTTTGATTTTGAGAACAGCTAGGACCTCAATCTTCTGTTGTCTATAAAAGTAGACACACAGTAACGCACTTTTATGTGTCTAGTTCCCTGAATTTATTGATATTCAGAAAGTAATACAACACATCTTGTGTGCAGCCATTAGAAATAAAAATACCCCTCTGCCTCTGGGGTCAGCTCTGTTTATTCACAAGCTCTTCCTAATTCATAGCACAGTTAGTCTTGCGTTTCAGAAAGCATAAAGGGATCAAAAGGGCAAAGAGGCAAACTGTAAAACTGTCTGTAATAACCGATCACATATAACACACTTCACAATCTAGAAACTCAGAGAAATAAAAGATAAAACTCTAGAATGGGCTTGTGAGACTGAAAATCTGAATTTTTTGTTTTGTTTTGTTGGGGTATGTTGAATATACAACTCTGCTGCACTGTTCTAGAGGAAAAAAACCACCTCTCATTTAAACTGTTGTGGAAATAATGTTAAGCAGTGTGTAAATATAATTACAAAATATGGTGAGGTCTTTCAAATTACTGTGTATCTAAGGTCTCTGAGGAGGATTACTAATATTTTTCTCAAATTTGTAAGTGCTGGGAAACACCACTGGATAGGAAAGAATGTGTGTATGAGAAATACCATTGTGCAACTGATGCTACTGTTTATACCATACAGCTGATTATTTTCAGGTGACTTTTTTTTTTTTTTTTAATTAATTTCAAAGCAATCTGTGGTGGAACTGAAATTTCTCTGAGCTTCATTCATCTGGTAACTGGGGTGGGTGCTCCAGGTTTCAGTCGTTTACTGGCTTTTTGTGGAGCTTTGAATTCTTATATGAAGTTGGCTGCTGTCTTGCTTCTCTCCTGAAGTTAACTTCTTTGCATAAATCATTTATAATCAGTCTGAGGTCATAAGGTATTTGGAGTGAGGGGTGCATCTGTAGTTTCATAGGCCTTGGGAATCTTCATGGGACCTTTTAGAATAAAATGCCCTTTTGCTCACAAAATTTCTTCTTGGGTAGCAGATGGTTTGCTAAAGTTATGGGAATAAAGGTGGTTAAAACTTGGACTTGAGTATGTCAGAAAGAAACCCAAAGTTGCTGTTATAATATTAGCATAGCTGGTCCTCTTCTTCTGGCTTGATGAGCTGCAAGATTTTCATAGTTTTGGCATAGCTCATGCTGAAGATGAGTTCAGTAACAACAACTCTGTAATTCATTTGTGTAATTCATTTGGTAGGTTGGCTTGATGTGCTGTGTAGGGGTCAGGTCTTGGCTAATACACAGTATCTTGATCAGCTTTGTTCAATAGTGTATTTGCTGAAGGAACCAGATGTGATAGAGGATGTTATATTTATTGCACCCATGAAATAATGAGAAGATTTAAAAAAAATATACGTTAAATACATTTGAAATTTGAATTTGGAGAAGAAATTGTAGCCTGTGGTTTTATGATCGTATGCTGCTTTTTAAGAAATGCTGCAGATGGCAGTAGAATCAGATTTTGAGGAATACCTTCTTTTATAGCAAGCCCTCTGCAGTCTAGAGCAACAATATAAAATGTGAATAGAATGTAGTGAAGAAGAGAAATGCCTTGTTTTAAGTAATTCACATTTTGTTCTTGAGAGGTTTTCAAATTTTCTAGGGCTTAAAGCAGCTTTTAGGACTTGCTTGGACAGGGGGATCATTTTCAAAGAGCAGATTTCAGTGACCAGAAAGACAAATGTGTATCCCAAATTTTTAGAGGATGAGCATGTGACTAGTATTTATCAAATATAGAATCACAGGATCATAGAATAGTTAGGGTTGGAAAGGACCTTAAGATCATCTAGTTCCAACCCTCCTGCCATGGGCCGGGACACCTTACACTAAACCATG